TTTTTTTTTTTATTCTCGAATGACTTGGTGTTTTAGATACTACACGTGGGACTACTGAGTAGGGAACCCAGGTGTGGTTCTCAGGATCCTTCTGCTCTATGCCCAGGTAACTCTCTGCTGTGTCTGTGAGAGCACCTTCTCCTGTTACCCAATCCTGTGCTCCGGGAAGATGGAATCACTCCTGCCCAGTCCCACAATATGTAATGATTTTTCCAGTGATCTCTGCAGAGGCTCCTTCCTTGGTGGGAATGCAGTCTGCCACATTCCTGTCTGCTGGCATTTCCAGCACAGTTTGAGTCAGCTCGGCAGAGCATTCCCTGGTAACCTCGGCTCCTCCTAAGGGATATTGCTCACAATACTGTTAACCCTTCATGTTGCCTGTGACCCATGGTCTCTGATTTGTTACTTGTGAACCTGCCTTGTTTACATCACTGGACTCTGCGTTTCTCAAGATTAAGTACTGGGGCCTGGTTTCATTCATCTTTACATTTCTGGATCCTAGTGCTTAGCAGGGGGCTTTGCGTATTCCAGGACATCACTGAGCATTTTATGAGTTGAAGGGCATATTCGAAGGCGGTGGGGGAGAATTTGCCTTGTGCCTGGCTCCAGTAATTCTAATACCATCCCTCAAAAGTAGGCTAAGTGTCTAGTAGAATAACTTTGGTTCACTGTTTCATAAACATCTGCGTACCTGTTACGTATCAAGCATCGTGCCAGATTGGACAAGACAAGGCACAGCCTTTCAGTAATGTACAGCTTACTGGAGGAAACATGTATAAATCGATACATGCAATGTAGCATTTGCTCAGCCTGTGAGCAGCGGAACTGTGGTTAAAATCCCAGTCTGATCACCCAGAACCCAGCGAGCCAAGATGCTTCCAGAACAGAAACACTAGCTATGTTGAGTGACATCTCAAGAGAGCAAAACAAGAGCCTTGCCCTGCCTATTATTCGAAGACACTGTTAAATCAAACCGTTTTTGTTTCCTTTGCAAACTAGGTTCTTCAGAAGCTTGGGAAAGCTGATGAGACAAAAGATGAGCAGTTTGAAGAATATGTCCAGAACTTCAAGCGGCAAGAGGTGAGTACAGTTTTCTAGTTTTCGGAGGGAGAAATGGGTTGACTGTGTCTGTGAACTTCTTTCTTCGGGGTTGGCATGCCAACCTGGGGGTGGCACTGCTGATTCTGTAGGCTCTCTTGTGATGGGCGAACGAAGAGGCAGGAGGCACTACAGGAAGAAGCTTTGTGCTTCAGTCGTAATCTCAGGAGATGAAGACGTTGCTGGTCTGGAGCTCTTCGATACAGATTATCGATCTAAAGGAAAGATGCTGTTTGTGGTGATTTATAGTATTGGTATAGTATTAGAGAAACAGTAGTTCAGATACCTCCCGCACAATTATTTCAATTGTTGCATGCTTCAAGATCATGCATTCTCAAGAGGGATTATATCTCCCCCAAGAGGGTGGAAAATGGTTCTTTGTGGGTGAAAAAAACTGTGTATATCACGTAAATAGATACATAGTGTATCTGTGGTATTGAAATTTCGTGGGGGTGTGTGATGAGGAAAAATAGGTCTAAAATAGCTCCTTAAGGGAGATGATAATGAGGAAAAAGTTGAGAAACATGATTAGATTTCTGCTATTCCTTCTTTTTTTTAAGTTTATTTATTTTGAGAGACAGAGAGCAGGGGAGGGGCAGAGAGGGAGAGAGAGAGAATCCCAAGCAGGCTCCATGCTTTCAGCGCAGAGCCTGATACAGGGCTCGAACTCACGAACGGTGAGATCACCACCTGAGCTGAAACCAAGAGTTGGATGCTTAACCAACTGAGCCACCCAGGCTCCCCTGTGGTGTTTGTTCTTTTAATGGGCTGCATAAAGACACATGCATAAAGAAACGAACTCTTTCAGAAAATTATCTGTGTGTATCTCTAAGGCTAGGATAAGAATGGACAGAATATCCATTGGATATCTGGACAGAATATCACTCTTTAGAGAGCATGCATGAAGGTCAAGGTAGGGGAAGGTATACGTGGGGCCATCTGCAGTTAGAAGCCTCCCATCTGGAGATCATACTAGCCATGGGGTGGGAGGAAGGCTGCACCACCAGATTTTGGAAAATGGGGTTTGGACATGGGGATGATGTGAGGACACAGCTTTATTTTCCTGGTGTCACTGGAGCTACCAGTGTCCCCAGGATGTTGTGGCCTTGGGATGATGACAGTCAGTAATGTCAGATCATCACAGGTTTCTTTTTTATTTTTTAATGTTTATTTTTCAGAGAGAGAGAGAGAGAGAGAGAGAGCACAAATGGGGGAGGGGCAGAGAGAGGGGAACAGAGGATGAGAAATGGGCTCCTTGCTGACAGCAGAGAGCCCAATGCAGGGCTTGAACTCATGAACCCTGAGATCATGACCTGAGCTGAAGTCGGACAGTTAATCGACTGAGCCACCCAGGCACCCCGATCATCACAGGTTTCATTTTGTCCCGTTTGTTCCTGTTTGCAGATCTCAAATTGCAGAGATTTCTTTCTTCCATGTGTGTACCTGAGCACCCACTGTTTGTCTCCCTGCATCCATGCTATTTTTGTCCCTCACCAACACAGGTGGTAAAAATCCAGCAGGTATGAAGCCAGGTAGACCAGTCTCCATCAGAACACATTCCTGAAGGCCTCCAATTTCATCCCAAGACTAAGCATTGACATGTGCAGAGAGACAGATACTCCGTTTACTGTGATAGCCATCTTGTTCTGTCTGAAAGTGACGATGGAGAGAAGGGAGTTGGAGAAGAAAGCCATGGGAGACAGGTAGAGCATATCCACAGAGAGCTTTGCATTCATGAAGGTAGAGGAGACAATTCTATAGCAATGTTGGATCTAGGCCCATAGACTATGTTGGCCTCCAGTCTCCTCCAGGAGAACAGATTCTCCACGTCTCCTTATGTTCTTATGCTGTGAGTTCTTGTACGTTTCTCCCTTGCACTTGGATCACACTCAGACACAGCACCATCTGGATTGCAGTGACTTCCCACAGAAAAGATGATCAGTCACTGCCCTGTTGCTTTGCAGGGTGATCCCGAATACCTGCTTTAAGGGATTGGAGTTAGAAAGAAGTGATTCAGGTTTATAGATGTACCTGTCTGAGGATTTACACTCTACCCTTTGAAACTTTGTCTTCCTTTCGGGGGGTCCCCGTGGAGCTGATTAGGTCTCTGCTCTTGGATTTTTTCCTGTATCACTCTTATGGTGTCTTGATGCAGTTAGCGTCCCAGAAGGCTAACCTTGGGAAGCATCAAGTTCAGGAATGCATTCATGACTAGGAAGCAGTTTGCATTTTCCAATTACAGTGAATTCTTATTGGCTCTTTTTTGGACTTTGTTGAGCGGGCCAGGTGAGAATTATTTTTTGTCTAAAGCACTAAAGGAAAGTACAGTTGGTCACATCATCAGCTCCATCGGTTATGTGCCACTAGCATCAGCAGCGTGAGGTGACCGTGCAATGCTGCTGTGTCTTCCACTCCCATCACAAGATATACATTTTCTTAAATGGGTACTTTCTTTTAAAAAAATGTTTAGTGGGGCAGCTGGGTGGCTCGGTCGGTTAAGCATCTAACTTCAGCTCAGGTCACGATCTCATAGTCCGTGAGTTTGAGCCCCATGTCGGGTTCTGTGCTGACCGCTCGGAGCCTGGAGCCTGCTTCAGATTCTGTGTCTCCCTCTCTCTCTCTCTGCCCCTCTCCCGCTCTGTCTCTCTCTCTGTCTCTCAAAAGTAAACATTAACAGGAAATACTTATTTAGTTTTGAGAGACGGCAGGGGCAGAGGATCTGAAGCGGGCTCTGTGCTGACAGCAGGGATTTTTAAATGTTATAGACAAAATCATATGCTATCAATTCTTGAAGACCTTGGTCCTTTGTAGAATATTAGCAGATTTCAAAATCTGGGTAAAACTTCAAAATCTGGGGAAGTTTGAACAAGCAATTCTACCTTATAAGAGTGAAACAATTACGTTGGAAATACAGAAATGGTATTACTCAAAGAGTATCTTAACCCCCTCTGTCTCCCTTTGAAAACAGTTTTGCATCAAAAACATCTTACATTTGCACATACTCATTTTGATGGCTTTTTTTTGTTTTCATCAGAAAAGATAAGTTTATAGTCATTTGAGTGCAATAAGGAGGGATGGTACCTTAACTAGAAGGAGAGAAGTCCGTATACTAGAAGGAGAGAAGAATATGCTGAGAAAGGTGTTTCTACATATACTTGTGTAGAAACTTTAACCTAGAAAGATGGCTCTACTAAGATTGTGGCATCTCTACGAGGCCTAGTACTTTTAATGTTAACATAATGGCAAATCATTACTTTAATGGCAGAAAGCATCATCTAAAGGCGACAGACTCTGAGGATATTATCTGACCCAGGAAATCAAGATTTCATGTTTTTTTCTGTGATAATGTTTTTCAAATCCGAAAAGATACTACTTGGAGTATAAAATGAACTATATTTGTATTTGTGCACTATAGTATGGTAACTTCATCATGCTTAATTAGTACTTAATCCAGAGTAGATTATTCTAGAATATTCTAGAAAGTATTCAAACATTTTTGGGCTCTGATGATCTTACTTTTAAATTCCCTGTAGTAAAATTCTGAAAGTCCTCATAGTGATCGATGTATGCCCTGATCCTTCATGTTGGAAACAAAGGTGGCATCAGGATCTGTGTTTGAACTCAAGCTTGAAGCTTAGCCTTTATCTTATTCCAACCCCAGGTTTTTCTTTTTGATCACAAACCTCTTTTCCTAAAAGGTGGTTTTTGTTAGACTGAGAGCATGGGTGAAGGGTCTGTGTACAACTGTCTCAGTTGTCCATTGGGTTTCCCCATTGCTGTGCTTTTCATGGTCCAGATTTCCTAAACTACTCAACTGGGGCCAAGAGGAAAGGGAGAGAAGGGGGAGAGCAAAAGGGAATAGAGTGAACTCTGCAGAGAGCTTGGGATTTTCCATGATGACGAGTACCAAAAAGAGCAAGAATTATAGAAATCTATCCAGCAGCAAGAACAAAATCTGACTTCCACATGTCCTCCCCAAAGTGTTTTTTTTCCTTCCTTTTTATTTTGCCTGTCTTACCAAAGCTGCTAATGAGTAGCAGAATTGACTGGTGTGAACATCGCCTACTTTCATCTGGCTGCCTGCTGCCGATTGTGTTAATGAGCAGAGAGAAGGTCCCAGAGAGGAAAGAAGGTCCTTGGCCTTTCTCCCTCCTTCTTGCTAATAAACTTGCCATTAAAATGCCATGCTTATGGCAACTGTGCTAACTGCAACAAGAATTGAATAACTTAGGGGCTGTGTGGGCTCAGATTACCAACTCTTTGGTCACATTTCAGTGAGTACGGCTGTGAGCACCCAACTGGACTTACAGTCCAAGAATAATACTTCAAATATTCCAATTAGTATTCATTATCGTTATTATTCCAATTATTAGAATCATCCAGTGACTGAAAGCTGGAGTCGTGTCTTCTTACTAATCTCTTCTCAGCACAGGGGACCTGTGTGGCTGCTTTCATCCTTTTATGTCTACGGGATCGAGTGCTTTGCACATAAGCTTTAAAAATACTTGTCCTACATCCCCAAAGGCAAGGGAATTAAAAGCAAAAATGAACTACTGGGACCTTATGAAGATAAAAAGCTTCTGCACAGCAAAGGAAACAACCAACAAAACTAAAAGGCAACCAACGGAATGGGAAAAGATATTTGCAAATGACATATCGGACAAAGGGCTAGTATCCAAAATCTATAAAGAGCTCACCAAACTCCACACCCGAAAAACAAATAACCCAGTGAAGAAATGGGCAGAAAACATGAA